CTCTTAGGTGTGAAACGCCAAAAGAAGGAGGCTGGTGGTGGAGGAGGGTGATATCCCCCCCTTGCAAAGCTCATCCTTGGAGCTGGGGGGCCAGGTGGATCCTGCCTGGGGAAGGATGAATCTGTAGGGCTGCTCCGGGGATGGCTGCCATCCCGTCATGCTCTACCTCGTCCCCACACCCAGCTGGTTTGCCAAGGATGGTGGGAGCCTTCTGCCACCTGAGCCGAGAGCAGGAGCGCCCGTCCCACGTCCCACAGAGCCCTCGGGTGCCACCAATGTGTGGGACAGCCACTGCCACCACCAGGGCTGCCCCAGGACAGTGCTCTGCTTTACACAAGGGTGTCATGGAGCATCCTCCCCCCGGCCCAGAGACATCTCCAAGTTCAGAGCCTTGCTCCCTGCTGGGAACCCACCGGGAGATGCTGAAGCCTTTAGCCAGGCTGTGTGATCCCGTGCCATGGGACACATCCTGCCAGCCCCCACCCCTCCTTGGTGCTGACATCAGCAGCCAAGTGCAATACACACAGCCCCCTCCCCTCCCTATTTTGCCAGCTGGGAAGAAGCTTTTCCTCCACCAGTCCCTGCCAGCAGGGTTGGAAGCAGGGGCCAGGGCAGCCATCCTGGATGGAGAGAGCCTGGAGCTGTGCTGAGATGTTACTGACCCTCCATGGGTCCCAGGGGGGGTGATGGGTTCGTTGGTGCCAAATGACCCCCAGCAGTTGTTGGCCCCTGTCCCATCACCCTGGGGACAGGGCTCGTGGCTGGGTAGGGGTGGAAAACACCCCATTGAAGGGCTGGGGAGAAGGGGATGAAAGTGTTATGGTATTTTATTATTAATTTTTTTTGTTGTTCCTTTCATTTGTTACTGTAAATAAAGGTCTTTCTTCATTTCTGACCAGCAGCTGCTGCATCCCATGCTCCACAGGGCACTCCCAGGGGGTTTGCTACTCACAGCTGCACAATGTCCCCATCCCTACATCTGCACCCCCTGTCCTGCTCCCAGCTCTGGGGGCTCCTTTGGCTCTGGGGACTTGGGACAGCTCAATGACAGCCCCAGCCTGCCCCTGCTTTGGTTCTCGTGCCAGGAGGGGAAATGCAAGAGTCTCCCTGTCCTTCTAACAGGTTGATGTCCCAGTGTCCTGCAGCCTGGCTGGGGTCCCCAGCCATGGGACAAGCCCTGGCCCCCTTGCACCACTGTCCCCTGCTCCTCCCAGGGCTCTGCCCTGCAGCAGAACCCACGAGCTGCTTCATCTGCCCCAGGGACATGACTTCCCTAATGGAGAAGAACAAATGATGTTAATTCCCTGCTGCAGGGCTGAGGAATGCAGCGGAATGGAGAAGGCCAAAGGGAGCGAGTTGCAGGCTGCTGCAAACCTCTTGAGAAACTCAGTGCTCAGCACTGCACTTTGCTGCCCTTGGACACTGCCAGGCCAGGCTGCTTTGGGCATCCTCAGGGCACTGTGGTCACCTTCCAGCGTGGTGCTACTCGAGCAGTCAAGACCACAGGAGAAGGGTGCATGGGAAGCCAACACCCCCCAGGAGGTGGTTGATGGGGTTTTTTTTTGAGTGGTGGGGGGGGAACACATCCCATTTTATCCAAGATTTGTTTTCCATTTCTCCTCTCTGCCTTTCCCCCACCCCTCCTGCTTCCAGCCTGCTCTTCCCGCTCAGCTCCAGTTATTTTAAGTCCCTTTCCCAGTGCAGGTCAAGGATGCAGCATTTCACCCAAGCCCCCGCGCTCTGAGCCCGGCTCCCCCTGGCACAGCTGGACCCTTGTGGGTTCTTTAACCTCCACCTATTTTATTTTTTTGCCAGAGAGGGAGGGAGCAGGACAGGGACCGTCTGTGCCCCCTCCCTCCTGGCGCTGTCCCCTGCCCCCCAGGGCTGCAGAAAGCAGCTCCTGTTCCCAGCAGCCAGAGGTGCCTTTGCCCTCGAGCCTCTCGCCTGAATCATCCCTTGTTTCCTGCTGCGGGAGGGGAAAACCAACACTTGGCGGGCAGGAGTTTATTTGTGGATTCAACTGGCATCGCTGCCGGGGGGAGGGACGCTCGATCCCCCTCCCCACTGCTGGGTTCCCAGAGCTGTCCCCACCACCGGACCCAGTGCTGGGCAGGAGTGCTGGGCTGAGCCGTGTCCTGGTTCCTGCAGCTTCCCGGCAGGATTCGGGGCCACTGGACTCTCAGGGCTGCAGCGTCTGGGGGCTGGAGGGAGGCACAGACAGAGCAGATATGATTTATTTTCTTCCTCCTGCAGAAAAGTTCAGCCAGAGGCTGGGGAGCCCTTTAATCAAGCGGCCAATTCATGCGGTCCTGGGGAGATGAGTAGCCTGGCTTTCTGGTGGCACTTCATCTTCTCTGGCTCTATGGAGGGTGATGGGGATGGCCTGGAGCTCCATCCAGCAGTGCTGTGTCCTGGGCTGGTGGGAGGACAGTGGCTCACAGGATGATGGCTCTCAGCTGGAAGCAGCCACAGGCTCTTCTCACCCAGCTCGAGGCAAGGATGCCTCACTGTGCCTCTGCACCAACTGCACTTGACCTTTCTGGCTTCAGCCATCCTGCCTGTGCCAGCAGTGCTGGAACCCCAGGGGTCCTCCTCCTCCATGTCCTCTGCTGAGATTTGGCAGTTGCAGAGCATCCTTTACAACAAGTCTTTATTTATTGCTCTGTTTTCATCCCTCCCTCTCTCTGGAGCCTTTGCCCTTCCCTCCAGCCACCTGTTCTCCTGCACCTCCTTTGCCACCTCCACCCTCTTGGACCGGGCATCTGTTACCATCACTTCATCCTCCCGGGAGGCCACCCTGTATCCAGCTGGGAACCAGCTTCCCATGCAGTGACAGGGGAGGGGCCACAGATTTCCCCCCCAGCAGGGCACTGCAGTGGGGCTCGGGGCAGGGGGATAACGTGCTGTTCTCTCCCCCAGGCCAGCCCCAGGTGCGAGCAGCCCCCCAGTCCCCCAGCCCTTCCACCCACCTGCTGCAGAACGGGGCCGGGCGGGGGCTGGATCCAGGAGGTGCCAACAGGGAGGCTGGGAACGGGGTCTTCCGCCCCCTCCCCAGCGCTGCGAAGCCCCCCCGCAAGCTGCAGTCACACCACTCCATCAACAGCCAGAGCAGCAAGAAGAGCAAGGGCAGCTCCAAGTCAGCCTCATCCCACATCCCTATTGAGGCACAAGAAGGTACTGGCTCTCCTAGGGGTGGGTCTTATTCCTGCCATTCTTATCCAGCTCCACATCCCTTGGGGTCTCTCCTGTACCCTTCTTCTAGCCCTCTGGGACCCTCAGATCTGGGTGCCAGCCAAGCTCCTCTCCTTGCAGCCTTCTGCAGGGTGGGTGCTGAAGGGGGTCATCACGTCTTCCAAAACTGGTCTTTCTTGGGGTCTGGGCATGTCCCTGGGCATTGAGGGGGGGCCCCTGGAGCAGTGCCTGACTCCCAGCCCCTCTTCCCATCCCTTCCATTCATTCCCAAGGGAGGATTTCCACCTTTTCTGGGGCTGAGCATCCGTCAGGCACAGCCTCACCCAGCCTGCCCGCGGATGCCGGTGTCCCCCTCCCTGCCCACTCTCTGCCTGTTCCTCCTCAGACTGCTGCGTCCACTGCATCCTCTCCTGCCTCTTCTGCGAGTTCCTGACCCTCTGCAACATCGTGCTGGACTGTGCCACCTGCGGCTCCTGCACCTCCGAGGATTCCTGCATCTGCTGCTGCTGCTGCAACTCGGGCGAGTGCGCCGACTGCGACCTGCCCTGCGACATGGACTGCGGCATCATCGACGCCTGCTGCGAGTCGGCCGACTGCCTGGAGATCTGCATGGAGTGCTGCGGGCTCTGCTTCTCCTCCTGAGGGGCTGCACCCAGGGGGGGACACCAGCAGTGGGTCCCCCCCAGCCCATCCCGTCCAGCCCAAGCCGCTGGAGGGGACTCTTAGGTGTGAAACGCCAAAAGAAGGAGGCTGGTGGTGGAGGAGGGTGATATCCCCCCCTTGCAAAGCTCATCCTTGGAGCTGGGGGGCCAGGTGGATCCTGCCTGGGGAAGGATGAATCTGTAGGGCTGCTCCGGGGATGGCTGCCATCCCATCATGCTCTACCTCATCCCCACACCCAGCTGGTTTTCCAAGGATGGTGGGAGCCTTCTGCCACCTGAGCCGAGAGCAGGAGCGCCCGTCCCACGTCCCACAGAGCCCTCGGGTGCCACCAATGTGTGGGACAGCCACTGCCACCACCAGGGCTGCCCCAGGACAGTGCTCTGCTTTACACAAGGGTGTCATGGAGCATCCTCCCCCCGGCCCAGAGACATCTCCAAGTTCAGAGCCTTGCTCCCTGCTGGGAACCCACCGGGAGATGCTGAAGCCTTTAGCCAGGCTGTGTGATCCCGTGCCATGGGACACATCCTGCCAGCCCCCACCCCTCCTTGGTGCTGACATCAGCAGCCAAGTGCAATACACACAGCCCCCTCCCCTCCCTATTTTGCCAGCTGGGAAGAAGCTTTTCCTCCACCAGTCCCTGCCAGCAGGGTTGGAAGCAGGGACCAGGGCAGCCATCCTGGATGGAGAGAGCCTGGAGCTGTGCTGAGATGTTACTGACCCTCCATGGGTCCCAGGGGGGGTGATGGGTTCGTTGGTGCCAAATGACCCCCAGCAGTTGTTGGCCCCTGTCCCATCACCCTGGGGACAGGACTCGTGGCTGGGTAGGGGTGGAAAACACCCCATTGAAGGGCTGGGGAGAAGGGGATGAAAGTGTTATGGTATTTTATTATTAATTTTTTTTGTTGTTCCTTTCATTTGTTACTGTAAATAAAGGTCTTTCTTCATTTCTGACCAGCAGCTGCTGCATCCCATGCTCCACAGGGCACTCCCAGGGGGTTTGCTACTCACAGCTGCACAATGTCCCCATCCCTACATCTGCACCCCCTGTCCTGCTCCCAGCTCTGGGGGCTCCTTTGGCTCTGGGGACTTGGGACAGCTCAATGACAGCCCCAGCCTGCCCCTGCTTTGGTTCTCGTGCCAGGAGGGGAAATGCAAGAGTCTCCCTGTCCTTCTAACAGGTTGATGTCCCAGTGTCCTGCAGCCTGGCTGGGGTCCCCAGCCATGGGACAAGCCCTGACCCCCTTGCACCACTGTCCCCTGCTCCTCCCAGGGCTCTGCCCTGCAGCAGAACCCACGAGCTGCTTCATCTGCCCCAGGGACATGACTTCCCTAATGGAGAAGAACAAATGATGTTAATTCCCTGCTGCAGGGCTTGGGGGGGGGGGGGGGGGGGCTGGCCTCCTGGCTGCCCAGGTTTGGTGTGAGGCTCTAGAAGCTGGCAGCCCCCCTGAATTTGGGGTGCCTGGCTGTTCCTGCTGCTGTGGGACTACCAGCTATGCCATGCCACCCCGTGCCAGGCCATGCCAAGCAGGCTGAGGACCACAGCTCCCCTCTGGAGTCTCACAGTCCCTCGGGGTCTGGGCCGGGGCGGTGAGGCTGCTGCCAGGGCTGAAGTTGAAGGAAGAGGGAAAAACACTTAAAAATCGAGGCCAAATGGGTCAGTTGGTCACAGCGACACAGGCTGGTTTGGGATCTGGGCTGCCTGCCCTCTGGAGCTGCTGCTCAGCTGTGAAACCTATTTTTAGTGGTGAGCTAAAGGCAGTCGGAGCCCGGCGAGGCACAAGTGCACGGAGGGGAAGAGGATGATGCAGGCAGCCTTCTTCCATCCCCTGCATGGCAGGATGGGTTGGGGTGGTGGATCTGGGCTTTGAGCCCTCACTCTGGCACAGGCACCCAGGCTGAGCCCTGGAGCTGAGCCTGGGGGGGGATGCACATCAGTGCCCACCCGGGATGGATGGGGCCCCATCCAGCCCTCGCAGGGTCTGGGGAAGCTTTTCCACAGGCTCTGGCTGAGGTTTTGCTCCAAATCCTTTGCATCTTTGGCAAGGAGGGATGGAGGCTCTGGGCAGTCGGAGCCCGGCCTCACTTGTGGTGCTAATTAGGGAGGTTGGAGCTGGCAGGGCTGCACTGCCTGAGCTGCTTAATGGGGAACAGATTCCCCCAGTGCAGGAGGGTCCTGTGGGCTGCCTGTGCCGTGTGTGTTTGTGTCCCAGCATGGGAAGGGGGTGACGTGCACCCTAGGCACCCAGCCCTCCCTTTGCCCTGGCATCAAACACCCTTTTAATGCTGCTTCCAAGGGACCAGGTCCTGGTGCAGCAGCTCTGTCCACTCATCTCAGCTTGAAACTCGATGGGACAGCAGAGGGGGAGGCAGGGAGCAGAGCTGGGCTCTTCGCTGAGCGTGCTGTGCTGCTGCTGTATGTGATGGTCACGCCTACAGATGTACTTTCCTGACAGCTGCCTTCAAAAAAAAATGCAAATAAAATAGCAGTTGCTATTGCAGGGCTACCCAAAGTGCAGCTCAGCCCTGCAGGGTTTTGGCACTGCCAAAGCCAGACACTTTTTTAACCCAAGCCTAGGGGACATTCACTGCCTTGAGCTGTGCTGGCTGCTCTGTTCATGTCCCAGGTGCTCCTGAACATCACTGATATGGTTCTGCTGGACCAAAGCAAGGAATGATAGGCCAGAGCAGGGAATGCTGGACCAGAGCAACTGAAATCCTTGGAAAGGGCTTGAAAAGCAAAGTTCAAGTCTTCCTCTGGATTCAAGCAGATGCTGCCCATCCACCTTGCAAACCACCTGGGAAGGCAAGAGTTAAACCCTCCTGCCTGGGAATTAATTAACAGCAGATGTGCTCTGTTTTAACTAATTAATCTCCTGCCAGCACTCGGTTTTATGGTTCTCTCAGAGCCAGGAGCTGCAGCACAGTGCCCACCCCATGCTGGCCCTGCAGGCTGGGCTTTACTGGGCACCCTGGGCTCACCTGCCCTCCTTCCCCAGCCCTGCTGGCTCTTCGTTATCTAAATGAAACAATTCAGTGGAAGGGACTAAAACTCATTTAAAAGCCCAGTTTTTTAAAGAAGCTAGTATTGCTCTGTTGTTGCTGTTTTAAAGCTGCTTAGTGGTAAAGTCCCCCAGGAGTGACATGCATCTGTTTTGTCACCCCAGGGGAAGCAGTGCATGATCCCAGCTGGTGCTGCTCCTCTGATACATTCTGCTGGTGAGTTACTATGGACAGGACATTGGGTGTATTAATGACAGGAGCTTATTGTTTTATTACTAACATCCTACTAGGGCTGTGCTGCCATGCTGAGCATGTCCAGAGTGGCAAGGTGTGCAACACCAGGCTGGGAACTGCAGGAGCTGCGGCAGGTCGGTGAGGAACTCATCTGCTTTGGGATTGGCTCTCCCCATCACCATGAGGTTTCTGGGCACCCTTTTTCCCCCTGTGCTGCAGGAAGATGCTGCACAGAGTGAGCCCCATATCCAAGCAGCTTGGATGTGCCCCTGCTCCTGTGGTAGGGAATTGCTTTCAGCAGCCTGAGCTATTTCTGTCCACAATCACGATCAATAAGGCGAGTGAGAAGGTTTTTATTTTCCACTCCAAATACTTTCTTCATCCTGTTTCCTCCCAGTTCACACGGCAGACTGGGGAGTGCTCCAGCAAGGAGGCCCACAAAGCTGCCTTCTCCTCCTCCTCCTCACTGTTGATGCAGTCCCTGGCTGTCTCCAGCTTCTGTTCCCACTCCTACTTCATGAAACCCTTCTAACTCCCTGTGATCCAAGGGGCAGGTTTTGCTGGGGGAGGGTGAGAGAAAGGCATGGCACACGTGTGTGCTCTCACACACACACACACGAAAACGCTTTCAGAGCCAAAGGGAAAAAAAATAAAACTAGGTCTTTGGAAGGCCCAGCAGCTCATGTAATCCCAGGTTCTGCTGGGCTGCCTCTGCAGAGCGTGGGGATGGGGGACGGGCCGGGGGAGGCGGCTGCAGTCTATTAAACTTCCTTTGAGAACCTGCCAGGCTGACAACAGCTGGAAGGAATTAACATTGTGGGTCCACCAGCTCCTCTCCTCACTTTCACCCTGCCCCAAAAAACCCGCCTGAGGCCGCAGGCCCAGCAGCATCACTTTTTCCCACTCTTTGGGCAGGATCTGGTACGAGCTGATTTCTCCTTTGATCCCGAACCTGCCAGAAGCGTGAGCAGCTGATGATGGAAAAATCCCAGTGCCTGTGCTGGCACAAGCAACTGGTTTGGGTCCCTTGTGTCCTTGAGGGCTGGGACCGAGGTGGGGTGTCACAATGGCACTGCAAGGTGGCTTCAAGCCATCTCACACCTCTCAGCCTCCTGCACAAGAGCCAGCACTGTCCAGGAAGGAAAAATATCCCCAGGCTTCCAACTGCACAGCTGCCCCACGTGCCTGCAGGATGCAGGAGAGGGTTTGTTGGCTTCTGAAACCACACCTGCTGCCAGCAGGCCCATGTTTGCTGTCACTTTGGGGTGTCCCCATGTCCCTCTCTGAGAGGGACCCTCGGAGTTGCCCGTCCCCTGGTTATGGGGGCCCATGTGCCATGGGGCAGGGGGAGAGCAGCTCCCCAGCTCCAGGAGGAAGCTGAGCATGACCAGAAAGGCCAGACCCCTGGGTGCTGCCATCCTGGCACTCCCAGCACTCCCTTGCAGCAGGAGCTTGACAGCAGCCAGGTCAGGGGGAGCGGGGTGGGACAGTTCTGTGCTGCTGTTGCCAGCAGAGATTACCCAGAAAGTTCTGGTGTCTCCAGGGAAGGGGCTGCAGAAGCCGCCTGAGCTCGGCGATAGCTGAAGCAGTGCAGAGCTGGCAAATGCTGGAGGGTTTTGCTGCCAAAGGGCAAGTTGCCTGAAAGCGCCGGCTCCTCCAGCCAGCCCCAGGGGCTGGGACCCAAACGGAGCCCAGAGATCCCCACGTTCTGCCTTGCTACCAAGTTGGAGAAGGAAAATGCA